CAGGCGTTCCTTCTCCTATTTCCAAAAGGCTTCTGTTCTCTTTTTACAGAAGCTGAGCTGCTGGGCAGGGAATGTTTAAATAGAAGATTCCCATTTGAGTGATTAGAGGCCTGGAGTGAGTCTGTCTCACTTTCATACATGGGACAAATTTTCCTGGATGCAGTGTTGTTGCCTCATTTCACACAGTGAGAAGGGCCTGCAAAACTTATGCAGAAAACTCTGTTGGGTTTTGTGCTTAGGGTGAGCTATATTACCAGCCCTGATTGCTCAGAGATCATGAGAAAGGGTTGCAGATAACTTTTGGGCAGCTACTATTTATTCTAAATATTTTTTTTAAAGAGGGACAGAAGCAAGATGCTCATCTGATCACAGGAGAATTATGAGGCTGAAGTGGGTTCCTTATTCCCAGTTTGAAAAAGGAAGCAGGAACTGGGAATCAGGGCCTATGTATAAGGACCCAACTTTAGCCTCATAATTCTCCTGTGATCGGATGAGCATTTTTCAAGAGTCCTCAGGTAGTGGAGACATGTGGTTTGAGGTGATCCGCAAAGGATTTTGCCCCATAATCTCACCCAAATCTCAGCTTTCTATTCAAGACAATGTACTTGATACATAACATTATTTTACATTTTTATTAGTAAATATACATTTCTGATTAAATGTTAATTCTTTTGTCTAATTCATTGCTAACAATCTTTAACTGTGTCAAGATTAGCTTGGAATAAGGAACAAGGAATGAACTTCAACCTCACCAGAGAGCTAGACTCTTTTTTTTAAAAAGTATTGTGAGACTTGTGATAAAATAGTGGGACTTAGCAAAACTTGTGGCTAATACACTGTACTGGACCTCAGCACAAGTCTAGATTCAAATCTTTGCTGAGCTTCTCTGTGATCTTAAACAAAGCCCACCCAGAGAAATTAAAGGCCTTGATTCTCTATTTGTAAAATGGAAGTAATACTTTCTTACCTATTTAGAGATGCTCTCTACAGCAGGAACTGTATGCTACTATGGGCCTGTACAATGCCAAGCACAATGAAGCCTCTAGGTCCTGCTATAATACACAAAATAGTAAGTTTTGAGTTTGGACTGATTTTTTTCTAAAAATGTCACCAAAAGGATCTTTTGGGTACGCAATAGGAAGGCCAAATTAGTCTGCTTGCTAGCCTCAGCTTTCATGCATTTTTACTGATTCTTTTTTTTTCTTGGGACACTTTGGTCACGTATTTCTAGGTGATGTCATCTTGGCTATACGGTTAGCCTGCACCTACCCAAGAGAAACAGCTCATCCTGCAAATAGGGCAACTTGCATAGCAGGGCAACTTGCACTGTGCAAAGTTCGCCTGATGGGAACAAACTCATGCTTCACATAGGAATGCAACAGTTGTGTTCCTTCTCTCCACTTACACAATCACTCCTTATTTATCCCAGTTTCATTTTGTAACGTTTACTCTGCAATAAACTGAGAGTTCAAGTGCTCCTCTTTAGTAATCCTCAGGCCAAGTTCAATTTTCAGGCAAACATGCATGCCAATCTGACCAATTTTAGTGGGAGTGCCAATGGGATTTAGGACAGAATTCAACATTAGATTTTATCATTGCTTACAGAGTTGTTTTATGGTCTGTTGGTTAAAGTACAAGTCTGAGAGTCAGGAGAGGATGAGGATGATCCTGATCCTGCCCCTGCCCCTGCTAGTGGCTCACAGCAGGCACTACAGCAAATCCCCTAACCTCTCTGTGCCTGAGGATAATACTTACTGCCCACTGGCTTTTGGGATACTTAATTGATTAATTCCTGTGAAGTGCTTGAGGCCCTTGGACAGAAAGCAGCATTGGAATGCTTTTGCTCTTAAGCAATTGAATTTAAATAATTTATTGTTAAATAGGAAGAGAGAAAATTAAAAATATGACCACTTGAGTTCAGTGTCCAGACATTGCTTAGCTGAGGGATGCTTTGGCAGCTTGCCAGAATCCTAAGGGTTGCATTTAATTTGGAGCAGATTGTAAATTGCTCTTGCTGTTAATAAAGAGGTAGAGTCATGGCACTGCTTGGGTGCTCATATGAGGATGGTACTGCATGCTGGGAACCAGACCTGTCTTAAGGCTGCACCCATGTAGAAGAGGAAGTCTGCTATACTTTGTAGGGTTCCTACATTTTATCATTTTGTGCTGGGGGAGGAAAGTGTTGTCATGATAAGGTGTGAATGTTGCTGTACTGTGGTGCTGTTAAAAACCTGCAGATAGATCTCTCAACACTTAGAGTAGTCCATGGACATGAACAGACAAGGTTCTTTGGGTTGATATGATCTCTCTTATTAGACCAACTAAAGAGTTGGAAAAATTGTTCTTTGCAAGTTTCAAACACAAACGCCCTTCTGCAGGCAGAGAGAGAAGGGTGTTTGTGCTCAAAAGCTTGCAAAGAACAATTTTTCCAACTCTTTAGTTGGTCTAATAAGAGATATCACATCTACCCAAAGAACCTTGTCTGCCTATGTCCTTAGACCAACAGAGATACAACCCATTTACATGAAGGCACGTATAAAACAGCCTATTCCTAAAGGCTCCTTTGGGAAGCGTAGTCACTTCATGTGGTTTAGAGACCAGATACAGTCACTATAATGGTTTTCTCTACTATTGCCCTTGTACAGGGCATTTTCTAGAAAGTAATTGAAAAACACCCCCATAGATGAGGTAGCCAGTGGTTCTCTCCACCAGTTATCAGAGATCAGAACACAGTTCCTTTGGACACTTCAAACATCTTCAGTCTTACCGTCTCCCATGTCAGCAGCTTGGTACACTGCTGTCAGGCATTGGAGCAGAAATGTGGAACAGTTGCTGAAAACATAATTGCATGTTTACACTGGCTTGCTTAATGGCAAAGCCAGAATGGAGCTCAGTGATAAAGTGCTGTGGTTTCTATGTGCTTGGGCAAAGATAGCTTATCAGCAGCAGGGTTGAGGACAGAAGTTGGGTTGGGTTTCCCCTGCAGTATAATATAGATCATGTTTTACAAACTGTGTTGTGCAAGATGTGGCTATGGTCTTTTGATGAAGGGAGCTACAGAGGTGCCTTAAGTACCGGGCATGGTGTCCCCACAGACTGCAGTTTCCGCAGAAGTTTGGACTGGCAGGCCAGCCTTGCTGCAGAAGCCTGCAGTGAGAGCCCTTTTAAAACTACCCAATCTTCTCAGTCTTCCTAAAATAGGAGAAACTGGCCAACCTCAAGTCTTCCATTGCTGCGTCACATCTCTGCCTGCCAAAAGAGATGCCAGCGGGTGACCATGGAGCACGCTGTGCAATCTGGCTGGCAGTGAGAGTGCCCATAGGTTCCAAAGTCTTGTCAAAACAGTTATAGTTACCCCAGTACCCACTCACTCAAAAAGGGCCGATCTTTGTGAGTGGGAGGAGTGATCCTTGCCTGAGGCCAGGGACAGGGATGCTGCAGGAGACTGGGCTGACGGGTGTAAGAGATCAGGACAGATGTGGCATGAAACCAGGGGCTGTGGTGCCACGCCCCTGTCTGTGACCTTTGAATACTGCAGAGCCCTGACTACAGGAGCACAAAGCCTTGACCTGCTGGGGGGAGCAAAGGGTCCCTCTAGTGTCTCTTCAGATAGCACAGGAGCATTTTTCTTTTTTGGACGGAGCTACCCTACCTGCCCCAAACTCTCAGGTATGGAGAATCCTTGGACACAAGGAAGGAAGCACCGGTAAGCAGTAGGCTTAGGGGAGGCAAAGGTGAGTTTCTAGCCAAACTTACGGGAACTGCTGAAGGGGGAACAGGCCCCAAAAGGCCTCACACTCCATCGGCTGGGCAGTGGTTCTCTACCCCTGATGGGAGGGGGAGAGAAAACCCCAGTTCTTTTGTTTTAGGGCCTCACTTCGGCTTACCCAGAGGCTCGTGGCCGCCTGCTACAACCCCCCGGAGCCAGTCGTGCCCACGCGGCCCCTACCCACCCGGCCTGTGCCGCCCCTCACCGTCTGGCTGTGGAAACTGGGCCCGGTCCAAGCTGGGCAGTGGTTCTCTACCCCTGATGGGAGGGGGAGAGAAAACCCCAGTTCTTTTGTTTTAGGGCCTCACTTCGGCTTACCCAGAGGCTCGTGGCCGCCTGCTACAACCCCCCGGAGCCAGTCGTGCCCACGCGGCCCCTACCCACCCGGCCTGTGCCGCCCCTCACCGTCTGGCTGTGGAAACTGGGCCCGGTCCAAGCGGGGAGGAAGGTTACCGCCCCTCGAGCCAGGCTGAGGCAGCAGGCGGCCGGGGGTTGGGGAAGCCGCCTGCTGGGCTCGGCTCCGCCCCGCCCCCTCCCGCCCGGGGG